CAACATGTCTCTCAATCTTACGAAACCGATAAAAAAATTCCTTCATGAGCGCTAATCGCAGAAAAGACTGACAGTAAAACTAACTGACCGCAAATCCATCTTGCCGCTTATCTTTTCCTTCTTGTGAATCTTGCTGCGCATCCATTTGGGATTGACACTGCAACAGTTGTGTGATCAGGTCCACACAGTCCGAAAACCGCGCCGGCAGATTCGGTTTGTCCACAAAATGGCTCGAAAATCGATTGAGCAAGGCTACTTTGGTCGGGGGACAAAGGAGTGCGACTCGCATGGCAGACCAGTGGTTGGATCCATAGATTTGTGTGTAGTATTTGTCAAAATGATCAAGGGCCGATTGATTGGTTGGGGAAAGTGGAACCAACTAATCGAAAAAGGATACAAAAATGAGAGGTAGATAGAATGATGGGGCAAGAATAAATGGGGCAGTTGGTCCAAACAATACAAAGGAATTTCGCGTGTTAGCACTTAGGAAACACATTCCAGCAATTGCGAATTGAGTAAAAAACGATCCAGCAAGATGACGAAATCTATGGACATGAAACGTTCTCTCCATGGACATTAAAAATTCAACGCACATAAGGACTGCACAGCTGTCAATTTTCTTCTCGGAATTCCCCCCGGTAACTAAATGGGTTGAACAAAACGAAATTTAACTGATGTGAAATTGGTGATAAATAGTTTGCGATGACTGACAAAGAAATGAACANAATTGTCTGGTTCACGAGAGGTTGATTTGGGAAGAGAACGGTGTTATTTACCTTCACGAAAACAATCCATTTCCATAAGTAGCATATGAATGACTAGCTAAAATTCAACTGGAAGTACACGACCGGCTTCGTCGTTCTGGCCGCTTATCAGACATGCGTATCAGTCCACTCGGACCCTTGTACCCAGGATGTGTATTTTTGTCACAAATGTCTCATTTGCAAAGCCGGGTGAAATTTTTTAAACAGTCCTTTCACAGATAGTCCATTGATGAAGGAATACCGTAATTCAATATGTTGTAGGTGCGTTAGACGCTAT